TCCACAAAAATATTAACTGTTTTCAACATTGATAATAATCAGAAATGTTTCTAATAATCAGCATATTAGAATGATTTCTGAAGATCATGTGACGCTGAAGACTGGAGTAATGATGCTGAAAATTCAGCTTTGATCACAGAAATATATTACAGTTTAACAGATATTCACTTAGAAAACAGCTGTTTTACATTACAATATTATTTCACAATTTTTACTGTATTTTCGATCAAATAAATGCAGCATTGGTGAGCAGAAGAGACTTTTTTCATTATTTCAACCTTTTGACTGGTAGTGTATATATATATATATATATATATGTGTGTGTGTAAGTACAATGTAAACACATGTACGTACACAATAAGTGCATTGTAACCAAATTATTAATTTAAATGTAAGTACATAGTAGTTAAGGCCACTTAATAAAGTGGGACCATATTACACAAAGATAATGCAAGTAAATAGAAAATGCAGTTTTTAAATGATGATTTCATTTATTAAGGGGAAAAAAGCTGTCCAAACCAACCTGGCCCTACGTGAAAAAGTAATTGCCCCCTCCTGTTAAATCACGAAAGAACTGTGATTAAACACATTATTTTAGAAAGCGGAGTTGAATTTCACTAGCCACACTCAGGCCTGATTACTGTTGAATCAAGAAATCACTTAAACAGAAGCTGTCTGACAAAGTGAAGCATGCTTAAAGAGCAACACATCATGCCGCGATCTAAAGAAATTCAAGAACAGATGAGAAACAAAACAGTTGACATGTATCAGTCTGGAAAGGATTATAAAGCCATTTCTAAGGCTTTGGGACACCAGGAGGTCATAAAAGAACCCAGAACAACATCTAAAGAACTGCAGGCCTCACTTGCTTCAATTAAGGTCAGTGTTCATGATTCAACAATAAGAAAGAGACTGGGCAAAAACAGCATCCATGGGAGAGTTCCAAGGCAAAAGCCACTGCTGACCAAAAAGAACACAAAGGCTCTTATTCTGTGGACTGATGAGACAAAAGTTGAACTTTTTGGAAGCTGTGTGTCCCGTTACATCTGGCGAAAAACCAACACAGCATTATAACAAGAGCATCATAGCAGCAGTCAAACATGGTGGAGGTAGTGTGATGGTCTGGGGCTGCTCTGCAGCTTCAGGATCTGGACGACTTCCATAATTGATGGAACCATGAATTCTGCACTCTATCAAAAAATCCTGAAGGAGAATATCCAGCCGTCAGTTTGTGAGCTCAAGCTCAAGTGCACTTGGGTTCTGCAGCAGGACAATGATCCCAAACACACCAGCAAGTCCACCTCTGAATGGCTCAAGAAAAACAAAATTAAGGTTTTGGAGTGGCCAAGTCACACACACACACACACACACACACACACACACACACAGACACAGACACGCACGCACACACTTACACGCACGCACACACTTACACGCACGCACGCACACACACACACGTGTATTTGGTCAGTGGTTCAGCACATGCGGTGACAAACACTGCTGCTTTAACTAGTACAGAGAGGAGACTAGTTAGTCTGGATCATCAGAACGGCCGTTAAACACGAGCAGACTGAATGCTGGGACAAAACAACGTGTGTTCTCAAGCGTGTCTAAAGATAGCGGCTGTGTTCAGAACAGAATACCAGCTCCCTGCATACTGCACACTATATAGTGCATACTAATCTGTAGAAACCGGAGCTGATTTGAATTCTCATATTTGATGAGTTCTGCATCATTGACCAAATCAATGTCCGGACTTAAATCTGATTGATATGCTGTGGCATGACCTTAAACAGTCCTTTCATGCTGGAAAACAATTCTGCAAAGAAGAGTGGGCCAAAATTCCTCCACAGCCATGTTGAAAATGCTTCCACACACACACACACACACACACACACACACACACACAGACACAGACACGCACGCACACACTTACACGCACGCACACACTTACACGCACGCACGCACACACACACACGTGTATTTGGTCAGTGGTTCAGCACATGCGGTGACAAACACTGCTGCTTTAACTAGTACAGAGAGGAGACTAGTTAGTCTGGATCATCAGAACGGCCGTTAAACACGAGCAGACTGAATGCTGGGACAAAACAACGTGTGTTCTCAAGCGTGTCTAAAGATAGCGGCTGTGTTCAGAACAGAATACCAGCTCCCTGCATACTGCACACTATATAGTGCATACTAATCTGTAGAAACCGGAGCTGATTTGAATTCTCATATTTGATGAGTTCTGCATCATTGATTGTTATTTTGCTGCTTTGAAAAAATCTATTTTGTATAAAGCGATATATGTATGTATATATATTTATATATAAAGTTGGGCGATATGGCCAAAAAAAATGATCACGATAAGTTTAAAGGCAGATTTTTGCTCCTAAGTGAAAGTTGTAGAAACCAGATCATTAAATGTGGTCTTAAACGACTCTTTATGGTCAGAACATGACAAACACTTCACGTTTTTGAATTCTTTACACTTTTCTTGACAGAAAAACTCATTTCTTAGTTTGCAGTGCATGCTGCAATATTAATCATATTCATTTTCTTGTCTCTTAGAAATGCACCTTCGACATCATCTTGAGATGCAGATGTAAATTTATGTTCATTATCAAAAACAGTAGCATCTGTAAAAATTATAACGACCTCATTTTTATATGGTGAAATTAAATTTTTCCGCCCGTTTGAGATTTATTATTTTAATAGCTTAATCACAAAAATACTGTAATTATATTCCATTACTCCTTTAATGCATGTAAATATACATAATATAATAAAATTTGATTCATCATCAGCGAGTAACGCATAGAAATGCTCTGTGTGACGCGGTTCGAATGAGTTTCCGTCCAGATTGTTAATTGTGGTTTTAAACTACGCAAACACGTTTTTGAATTCTTTACACTTTTCTTGACAGAAAAACTCATTTCTTAGTTTGCAGTGCATGCTGCAATATTAATCATATTCATTTTCTTGTCTCTTAGAAATGCACCTTCGACATCATCTTGAGATGCAGATGTAAATTTATGTTCATTATCAAAAACAGTAGCATCTGTAAAAAATTGTAACAACCTCATTTTTATATGGTGAAATGTAATTATTCTGACTGTTTGAGTTTCTTACCATACATTTAGATCATGATAACCACAGTTAAAACCACACATATGGTTACAATGGTAAAAATGTAACTTATATGGTTTGTAGGTATTTGTATGAAAAGCAGTAGTCTAAATAATACATTTATTATAAATGCACAAATGCTATAGCTTAATCACAAAAAGTACTGTAACAAAACTGCATTTTGTATTTACTCTGGTTATCTTTGTGTAATATTAAAATTTGTTTGATGATCTGAATCATTCAATTCAATAAAAATTATATATATATATTTTTTTGTATGTACTATATTTTTACTCCTTGTTATGTAAATTATCTGTTCTTCTGTATACTAGAATAAAAAACATTTTTTAATTACTAATTTTACAATTTATTTATATATTTATTTATACATATTTTGAAATTATTTATTTTAATGTTACGTTTTTATTTAATTTTAATAGTTTTATTTTGAGTGTTATTATAAAAATTATTTGTTTTAATTTTACATGAGATAATTTAATACATGCTTATTAAGTCTTCTGATCAGTGTGTATTTATTGTGTAATCTGAAGCGTCTCTCACCTGCGCTGCTGCTGAGGATGCGGGCGCTGCATGTGGACGAGGGCAGCACAGGCATGGAGTCAGTGTTATGAAAGTTGTAGAAACCAGATTGTTAATTGTGGTTTTAAACTACGCAAACACGTTTTTGAATTCTTTACACTTTTCTTGACAGAAAAACTCATTTCTTAGTTTGCAGTGCATGCTGCAATATTAATCATATTCATTTTCTTGTCTCTTAGAAATGCACCTTCGACATCATCTTGAGATGCAGATGTAAATTTATGTTCATTATCAAAAACAGTAGCATCTGTAAAAATTATAACGACCTCATTTTTATATGGTGAAATTAAATTTTTCCGCCCGTTTGAGATTTATTATTTTAATAGCTTAATCACAAAAATACTGTAATTATATTCCATTACTCCTTTAATGCATGTAAATATACATAATATAATAAAATTTGATTCATCATCAGCGAGTAACGCATAGAAATGCTCTGTGTGACGCGGTTCGAATGAGTTTCCGTCTGCTTTTGGCACATAAACATCATATCAAACATTTAGCGAACTCTTGTTATCGTTTAATCAAGGAAAATTATATCGCAATAATTATAGTTATCATTTTATCGCCCAGCCCTATATATATATATATATACACACACACACACACATATATGTACATGGTAAGTAAATTAAGTAATTACTGGAATTTATTTTTTACTAGAATTTTTAATTTTAATAAAGTAACAGATTACTCTTAATTTTTCTGTAATTTAATTACAGTTACTTCTGATGTAATTGCACTAATTACTGTTTAGACTATAAAACAATTCTATTTAAACCTTCTCCCTTTTAATACTTTGGTCAGTTCATGAATAATTTATGCAATTTTATATTATAATTTCTACAGTAATTACATTGTTGAAGATGTAATTAGCAGCTAGTAATTAATTACTTTTTTATAGTAACATAAGTAACATATACATATATATGACATTAGTTCATAAACAGTAATTTTTTATCATTTTTGCATCAGTTGCATCAGTTGCATCCTGAAATAAAAATATGCATTTATTTTAAATTGCTGAGCACAACTGCATTTTGGGACACAGTCTCTGTGCACTGTAGAGTTTCCCGTACTGAGTACAGTGTGCGTGCTGTATACTGCAGCATGACAGTATGCTATTCTGAACACAGCCACATTAAATCAGGGTGAAACATGATGATTTCAAACAGGTCACCTGAGTATTTCCCTGCCTGTCATTGGTCAGTCAGTCTGATAGCCCCGCCCCAGACTCACATGATTGGCCGAGACATGTCTGGGACACACCCTCACGCCTGTGTGGGTTCTGCATTAACCTGGTGCGGTGCAGTGCATGCTGGGACTGAAGCACCTGAGCACCGTTTGGTGGAGGCACGTGGCTGCGATTGGTCTGTAACAGGAAGTGGATCGTGCTGCTTTGACCGTCTGAGAAGCACAGAGTTAAAGGGCAGAAGCTCACAGTTCAAGCGCATGTGCACAAGTGCATTCGTCAGCATGCGGCTAAAACCCAAGTCACAAGACCTGCCGGCACTCGACCCAAAGTGCCACATGCACATCTCCGTCTGTGTTCGAACGCTCGCTGACTCTCTGCGAGTCACTTGAGCTGGTCGGAGCGGAAGGAGTCCTCGACGGCGGGGTCGGCCAGCATCAGGTCCCCGTCTGAAAGCATGCCCAGAGCCTCCAGCACCAGCGGGTCGTCTGTGGAGAACGGGTCCATCTCAAAGCCCGGGACGGCCGACAGCGCGCTTGCGATCTCCTTCGACAGTCCTGATGGAGAATCTCCTGAGACACACAGCAGACGGTCATCACCAGCACGTCACTGTACTAATAATAAATGAAGCAGCACACACACTGCTCCAGTTCAACTCATACTTTATTAAATAACTCCTGACCAAATCACAAAAATACTGTAATTATATTCCATTACTCCTTTAATGCATGTAAATATACATAATATAATAAAATTTGATTCATCATCAGCGAGTAACGCATAGAAATGCTCTGTGTGACGCGGTTCGAATGAGTTTCCGTCTGCTTTTGGCACATAAACATCATATCAAACATTTAGCGAACTCTTGTTATCGTTTAATCAAGGAAAATTATATCGCAATAATTATAGTTATCATTTTATCGCCCAGCCCTATATATATATATATATACACACACACACACACATATATGTACATGGTAAGTAAATTAAGTAATTACTGGAATTTATTTTTTACTAGAATTTTTAATTTTAATAAAGTAACAGATTACTCTTAATTTTTCTGTAATTTAATTACAGTTACTTCTGATGTAATTGCACTAATTACTGTTTAGACTATAAAACAATTCTATTTAAACCTTCTCCCTTTTAATACTTTGGTCAGTTCATGAATAATTTATGCAATTTTATATTATAATTTCTACAGTAATTACATTGTTGAAGATGTAATTAGCAGCTAGTAATTAATTACTTTTTTATAGTAACATATATTAAATATACATATATATGACATTAGTTCATAAACAGTAATTTTTTATCATTTTTGCATCAGTTGCATCCGAGTTTATCTGAAATAAAAATATGCATTTATTTTAAATTGCTGAGCACAACTGCATTTTGGGACACAGTCTCTGTGCACTGTAGAGTTTCCCGTACTGAGTACAGTGTGCGTGCTGTATACTGCAGCATGACAGTATGCTATTCTGAACACAGCCACATTAAATCAGGGTGAAACATGATGATTTCAAACAGGTCACCTGAGTATTTCCCTGCCTGTCATTGGTCAGTCAGTCTGATAGCCCCGCCCCAGACTCACATGATTGGCCGAGACATGTCTGGGACACACCCTCACGCCTGTGTGGGTTCTGCATTAACCTGGTGCGGTGCAGTGCATGCTGGGACTGAAGCACCTGAGCACCGTTTGGTGGAGGCACGTGGCTGCGATTGGTCTGTAACAGGAAGTGGATCGTGCTGCTTTGACCGTCTGAGAAGCACAGAGTTAAAGGGCAGAAGCTCACAGTTCAAGCGCATGTGCACAAGTGCATTCGTCAGCATGCGGCTAAAACCCAAGTCACAAGACCTGCCGGCACTCGACCCAAAGTGCCACATGCACATCTCCGTCTGTGTTCGAACGCTCGCTGACTCTCTGCGAGTCACTTGAGCTGGTCGGAGCGGAAGGAGTCCTCGACGGCGGGGTCGGCCAGCATCAGGTCCCCGTCTGAAAGCATGCCCAGAGCCTCCAGCACCAGCGGGTCGTCTGTGGAGAACGGGTCCATCTCAAAGCCCGGGACGGCCGACAGCGCGCTTGCGATCTCCTTCGACAGTCCTGATGGAGAATCTCCTGAGACACACAGCAGACGGTCATCACCAGCACGTCACTGTACTAATAATAAATGAAGCAGCACACACACTGCTCCAGTTCAACTCATACTTTATTAAATAACTCCTGACCAATATATACTCTTTTATTTTACACTTAATATTACAACAGTAGTATTTTTATATTTTTATTTAGCAATAATAATAGTAGTAATATATTATTACAATATAATAATATATCTATTTAGTAGTAATAATAGTACTAACAGTAACAACAATAATAATAATAATTATCATTATTATTATTAATAACAAGCACAGCAAACCTGGATTAAAAAAAAAAAAAAAAAACATTTTTAAACCGCATTTGACATTTTTATGAGGAACATTTTTTTATCAGAAATTTAGCTATTTTCTCGTTAGCCTATAACTCTGGATCATTTTTGTTCATGCCTGTCTTTTTAAAAACACATTATATATTACATATTTTATAGCCATATTGATATATAATCACAAAATTGTGCAAAAAAAGTACAGCAAACCTAAGACCTGGATTCTTTTAAATCACATTTTAAATATGTTACAGTTTTTCTCAGTCACTTTGGTGCATTTCTCAAATCATCCTTAATATTTGTCTCACACACACACACACACTCTCTCTCACAAACACACTCACACAGAGACACACACACACACACACACTCTCACACACACAGACACACACTCTCTCTCTCTCTCACACACACACACACACACACACACACACACACACACAGACACACACACACACACACACACAGACAGACACACACACACACACTCTCTCACACACACACACACTCTCACTCTCACACACACACACTCACACACACACACACACACACACACAC